AGAACATTTGATTTCACTTGATTTTACCAACAGTAACAATTTAGAACATCTTCCTGCCCTTGGGGATCTGGAGCTACTTCAGACTCTTTCTCTGCATGGAATGAAGCGTGTCAAGCGCATTGGTAGAGAGTTCTATGGTCGCCAGAGAAACGCACAGTCATCACTTGAAGAACTATCACTCAGTGATTTTCCAAACTTGGAAGAGTGGTCAACTGGAAATAAAGAAAATGCATTCCCTCAGTTAACGAAACTAATTGTTAAAAGATGTCCCAAGTTAGTACATATACCATTGTCTCTGTCCCTTCGACATCTGGAGCTGCGGGATTGTAATCTAACATTGGTTTCCATAGCAAATTTAAGTTTGCTTTCTGTGCTTGTTATAGAAAAAATTCCAGAGCTAGTATCTCTCCCCGAAGGGCTTTTTGCATCAGCTCGTCTGTCTTCTCTGAAGATCTTGTCTTGCCCCAAACTAGTTTCACTGCCTACAGAGATAGGAAACCTTTCTGCTCTGAAATCGTTGACCATTGGTTGGTGTGAAGAGCTGTACACTCTGCCAAGTTTACAGAACATGAAAGCTCTGGAGTCACTGGAGATTAGTGACTGTCACAATCTAATATCCATGCCAGATGGTGGAATTGGTGGTTTGAGTTCCCTTCGAACTTTGTCCATCGAAAACTGCAGTAATCTTACATCTCTTTCGTGTAGTTTCGAACATCTCACGTTGCTTGAGCACTTGACCATTATGTACTGTCCCAGTCTTGGTTCCTTTCCAGAGGGTGTGCAACACCTCTCTTCACTTCGAAGTTTGACTATTTTGAGCTGTCCTTGGTTTGATTCTCTGCCTGAAGGGTTGCAAAATGTCAGGACCTTGAACTGCATGGAAATTAGTAGCTGCCCAGATCTAACAGCTTTGCCAGAATGGTTTGAGGATCTTGATTCTCTTAGATCTTTGACGATATCTGACTGTCCTAATTTAGAACAATTGCCACCAGGTCTCAAGCATCTGACTAAACTCCAGCACCTCTCCATTCAAGAATGTCCAGAGCTTGAGGAAAGATGTAGACAAGGAAGTGGTGAGGATTGGTTTAAAATATCTCATATCCCGCATAAGTACATTGGATCACCTCAGGTCAGTCAGTCCGGAGAAGCAAGCACATCTGGCAGCTCTTCTGTGCAAACATCTTCTCATTAAGCAGTGCATCAGCATCAACAGGGTATTGATCATCCTTGTCAAAGTATTCATTTCCGATATTTGCTGGTTTTTGTTTTTCTTTCTTTTTTCTGTTATATTCTTTGTTTAGATGGTTGAAGTGATCCCAGGATTTCTATTTCCTTCTGGTGTTTACTAGATTACGATTTTGATTGATTTATTATTTATTGACAGATAATGAGACAGACCAACTTTGGTTTCAAGTTTTTTATTTTTTTTTCATCCAATCATGGAGAGACATGATAGTTTGTAGGAGAGAAAATGTTGAGATGGAAGAGTTTTCCTTTTGGCTAAGAAGCGAAAAGAGGTTTTTTTT